AATTTTTTGCAATCCATAATCGAATTTTTTGTAATCCATGATCGAATTTTTTTTTGTAATCCATGATAGAATTTTTTGAAAATTTGTGATTTTTTTTTTTAATCCATGATCGAATTTTTTTTTGTAATCCATGATAGAATTTTTTGAAAATTTGTGATTTTTTTTTTTAATCCATGATCGACTTTTTTGAAAATTTGTTTTCTTTTTTTTTTAATTCATATTATTCAAAGAGAAAATGAGAGAGATGATTCTGAGGCCACCCTATCCCAGCCATATATTATTCACATATCGCGCCCCAACAGCAACAGTGTAAGGATGAGTACGACAGTGCAGGTAAGCATGAAGGATGGACAAGCTTAGGGGATTTTGGATTGGGAACGCAACAAAACACTAACACTCAGGGATTTGGGAATAGTCAGACGCCTGCTAATATCGATGATTTGTTTTAGATCGAATCAATGAATTGTTAAACGAATTCAATCAATGGCACCAGCGTGACCAAGAAGAACAATAACGCCGTCTATCATTTTATTTTTAGATCATATGTTACTAATTTTATGCTTTATTGTAGTCCATGTATGTTGATATACTTATTCCATGATAATTCTATGTTTATCCTTTTGTGTGATGTAAATTCAAAAACATGAAAATTCTTAATGGGGTACCCTCATTTCTTATTGAATTCCTAAAAAACAATATTTATAATGAATTTTAATAATTTTTTCAGATTTTTTTTAAGCTTTCATTCTGACCGATTCACCCGATTTCCGATCCGGATCGCCGCTTCGTCGATCCGGATCGGTTTTTTGAGTGCCCGATCCAGGTCACCGATCCGTTTTTTAAACCATTGCCAGTGTTTAAAAAAACGCCGAGTCGAACCGGACTCGCCCGGTTCCACTCGAGAATCGCCATGGATGGATCGAATAGGTGAAAAAAACGGGAATCGTCCAGTTCTAGAGAGAACCGGACGATTCTGTACAATGACTCGCCGATTCACTGTACGGAATCGGCGAGTCCCGTACGGAAGAACAAATTTATTTTTTTTTTATTTTTTTTTATTTATTTTTTTTGTAATCCATGATAGATTTTTTTGTAATACTTGATCAATATTTTTGTAATCCATGATCGAATTTTTTTTTTTTTTTTGTAATCCATGATCGAATTTTTTGTTTTTACTAACCCATGATAGAATTTTTTGTAATCCATGATCGAATTTTTTGTAGTCCATGATCGAAATGTTTGTTTTTTTTCTTGTAATACATGATCGAATTTTTTGTTTTTTTTTTTTTTGTAACCCATGATAGAATTTTTGTAATCCATGATCGAATGTTTTGTAATCCATGATCGAAATGTTTGTTCTTTTTTTGTAATCCATGATCGCAATGTTTGTTTTTGTTTTTCTAATCCATGATCGAATTTTTTGTTTTTGTTTTTTGTTTTTTTGTAACCAATGATAGAGTTTTTTGTAATCCACGATTGAATTTTTTG